GGTACGGTATAGTAATGGTTTTATACAACACAGGGTAACCAAGAATTTTTATATAATATGCCGCAAATATTATCTATTTTAGAAAATATTGTTATTTATGAGTTTTTTTATAAATGTTAAGCAAGACTAACACATCCAATTAAAAACAAGTAAGCGATTGATAAGCACGGAAGTCATTTCAGTCCCCATCAGGAGCATTTATACATCTAACATCTTATAATTACATTTCGGCAACATCGTTCTCCCGTCAGCCGAATTAATGCTGGTTTTTCTATGGGAGACTTGATAATTAATGAAGACACTTTATATTCTGCGAAACCATGGCCCTTGTAATCACCGCGTCACCCCTTAATATTTATGCAAACGATAATTAATCCCAAATAACCCATTTAAAGAAGCGACTCGACCATAAACCATACCGAGTCTGCGTATCCAGAATCTTCCTGTTATTCGGCATTCTTTGGGGTCCTATAGTGAGACTATAGGGGATTAACCGCCACAGAAAATCAAATGGGGGCGAGTAAAAGAAAACAGACGCAAATATAAGAACATTTGAATCCTATAAATAGAAATGTAATTGTCATTAAATATATGTTTAGTGTCTTTTTCAACAGCGAATATCTCCAACAAGAATAAAGTTATTGAGATGAACCAAAAAAGAAACTATGGAGAAAGGACGCACCTAGATGATAAAATGATTTTTAAATTCCTTGCTATCTTAACATATTCCTCAAAGTGTTTCAAACTTTCACCAAAATATCACTTTGTTTTCCGTCGTATAATTGACAGATGGGAACTATGTGTTTTTCAGTCCCCAACAGGTAAACCTGCCAGGCACAGCACTAAATATCTCTGAAAAGTACAATTTACTATTTAAAGATATATAACAAATCCAAAAGGTGTTATATAAAGCTTTACAATACTGGAAAAGGCTAGAGGCTTACAACGTCAAGTGACCAAATCATTTATCATTGTATATTGAAATTCGCTGTCGTCCATTCATTAGCGTGGCCCAAAATAACTGCCACTTACGCAACACCGTAACAAATGTCGTCAACATGCTGACACAATGGGAACAGCCCTGTGGCGAGTCAACCCCTCTAAACAATCGTAATAGGAATACAAAGGATAACACGACACAAGAAGGTTCTGCACATGCAGATTAAGATATGGGGCGAATTGGAGTATATTTACACATTTATAGGATTGTAATAATGTTTTAAATTAGAAAATTGGGTTAGATATTGAGCACTAAAAATATTTGGAGTATTATAATACGAATAGAACAGTGTTTAGGTATAATATAAAAAATATATTGTTAGAGAGTTGAGTGAAGATAAAATTATAAATTAGCTATAAATTATCTGATTATATTAAAAATAAGTAGATACATTTTTTGACCCTTTGGCCAAACTTTGTTTTTAAATTTTAAATCAATAGTATTTACCATTGGTTTAAAAATAGATTAGATTAGATTTTAAACCAATGGTATTTACCATTGGTTTAAAATCTAAAGACAAAAAACATCTTAGTGGTTCTTTACTGATATCTTCGCAATCAACAAAAGGGGCTTAACATTTTCTCTCATATAGTGTATTATTTTCGCTCATCCTCTGAGATTATAAAAATAAAGAAAAAACTATTAGTAACGTAGTATATTTAGTAATCTATGTTCTATTCCAAAATGCTTGATAGCCCAGCGAGAAGCGTTGGGGCCATAAAACATCATGAATCATAGGCGCTACAACTTTTACAAATTCCATCATCAACCGACTTTTTTATTTAATAAAAAAAATTGTTTTGCCCTTGAATGAGCCTACAATATGTAGGATTGTAAGATTTTGTGAAAAAAATGTTTGCTTTTTATTACGTTGGCTGATCGTTCTGTAGTTATTCTGTGGTATAATAGCTACCTCATCACTTTATGGTTATGAACCCCGCAATTTATACCTGTAAAAAAATACCTGTAAAAAATTACGTGCATTTAGTATATGTGTCTATCTTGCGGTGTTGATTTCCAAACATGTATACATTTATTCCAAGCAAGATAAAAGGTATTCTTGATTTGATGGTGAAAACTAGACTTTTAAATGTTCATGATTTCTTTGTGCCTCAAGATCCCGCGACTATTGTGAAAAGCCTAGTTACGAAATGTTCAAATATTACGGCAGTGGGTGAAGCCACAATTTAAAGAGTTCTGAAAGAGAGAAATTCCCAAAATATCTACAGGAAAGAATCTAAATAATCTAAATATAGAAAAATATCTACATTGTTGATGACTGTTCTAGAAGCATAATAAGGAAACGTGCACGCCTTTTACTTAAACACGGAAATACCATCTCTCAATAAAATTCAGGAAGTTGTAAATGAAGACGAAAATTTGTCGGTCATGGAAAGAAAAAAACTTTGGATAACTTTAAAGGAAATTAACTTCTCGTGGGAAAAGTACAATCGGAAGTCTGTACTCATTGATAGAGAAGACATAATTCTTTGAGAAGGCAATATCTAAGGGACATTCGTATATATCGCAGGGAACGAAAATCTATCTTCTACCTAGACGATACATGGCCGAATCAAGGACAGTCTGTTAAGAAAATATGACAAGCCAATAGCATTGGTAGTTCTTGTGAAGCGTTCTTAGAAGGATTATCGACTGGTTTGAAAATCCCTTTCGGGAAACGACGCAGGCTAATTATAACGCATATTGGGGGAGCTAATGGAATCGTTCAGAATGGACTACTGCAATTTGAATCTAAATCGACCAAGGATAATCATGAAGAAGTAACGGCTGATTTTTTTGAAAGAAGTGATAACATTACTTCCAGAAAACTATGTGATTGTTACAGACAACGCCAGTTATCATTCAAGATCGGTAGAAAAATTACCAACCGCTTCTGGAAAGAAATGGGACATTATAGGCCTGTTATATCAAAAGGATATTTCATTCGAAAAAGGTATGTTGAAAAAGGAGCTGGTACGTTGTGTAACAAAATATATTTTAACAAAACTGAAAATAAATCTTAAAGCACTGATACCCGATACTGGTGCAGTTAATACCTGTCAATATCTTTATTGCCCTATTGTTATAAGAGGGCTTGCTATTGTTATCGGCAAATGTAGCGGATGTGTCCATCTACAAAGGTGTTAAAGCTGTCTGAATTTTCCATCTCCCATCTTTTCAAATATCCGAACAAACTTATTAAATTATTATATTTTGGATCAGTCCTTGATAATGTTCCAAGTTTCAATTTAATATTTTAACGTTGGGCTGAAAATAACGTTCAAAGATTGTGTTAAGTAGAATTCATACATAAAGATAAAACTAATAAATCTCAAGCAAAAATAAAACCACAAAACTACAATAATATCACCACAAAACACCAAGCCGCTTTTACTTTTACACTGGACGCGCGTTTCGCTAACCATGTTAGCATCATCAGCAGATTTTTAAAACTAAACTAATATCTACAAATTGAGCGTTTATATACCCGCTCAGTTGGTTCTGAGTGGGCGTGGCAAAAAACTAGCCAAGTGAATAAAAACCAACTGAGCGTAACAATTAATTACCAAAATTAGAGCACCAGGAACAGAGAACTGGCAGGAATTGGGCCATTGTCTCTGTTCATACTATCTTTACATTTACTATTTTTAATGCTCTCATCGTAATTTGAGACTTGTTTAACTAATTTTAAATTATTAATATCTATACTGTGTTCTTTATCAACAATAAGCAGCACTTTTCAGCAACGCAAGACTTATCCGGTCTACCATATCTTATCTGTGCTATATGTTCTTTAAATCTACTTAATATTGATCTTCTAGTTTGCCCAACATATTTCTGATTACAATCTTTACATGAAATTTGATAAATACTCGACCTTTCCAGTGGCTGTGTTTTATCTTTAGGATTACCTAATAATTGTTGTAATATATTATTAGCACTATACATAAGTTTATAATTGACATTCTTAAAAATTCTTTATAAACCACGGGAAAACTCTCTATCAAACGGTATTGAAAAATATTTTGGCGTATCTTTCTCCACTTGGAAAGTCGAACTTTCAGCAATCGCAAACTTACACCTACGTTTTCTAATTATTTTATCCACAAATGAAGAAGAATTTCCATTACACTAAGCCACATGCCTAATGTAATTTCTTTCTATTTCATATCTTTCGTTGTTAAGTGGAAATCTAAGTAATCTATGAAATAAGAAATTTAAACTAGCCATCTTATGGTTCAACACTATGACACGACTCATTAGGAATATATCTGCATATATACTCATTTCATATTATATCTGGACGTTCAGTGTAAAAGTAAAAGTGTTTTGGGTATTGTGGTGATTTAGTGTTTTATTTTGCTATTGCAACACCAAACGTTCAAACCCCCAACCCAAGGATATATAGAATAAGGATATTCGACTGGCCCAAAAAAAACGTGCCGTATTTTGTCGAGGAAGACGATTTCGTCACAACCAATGAGCGTCGAGTATTTGAAATTGAAAACATATAAATTGACGGCAACCTATGTTTTTTGACTCATTTCACTGACAAATGTGATGAGATTGTTATTGTAATTTATAGATCCAAAATCCAAACGTTTTTTGAATAAATAATTTATTTTAAAGTTATTTCCTAGAGGTTTGGTTTGGCCTTCTATATTCTGGTATTTGTCTACTAATAAATAATATCTTATTTTGTATTTCGATGTATGGAAATCCGCAAGTTTTGTATCTGAAGCCGCAAAGAAATTTCGCTCTATAGTGAGAAAAATGTTATATCTTTTTAGACGCGTAGAATAACAAAATTTCTTATTTCAGATGTTCTAAATGTGAGTGCTTAATGTCAAAAATTAAAATATATACTTGAAATATTGGTTGAAATATTTCAAGTTATACCCTTTGCCCTTTGGAAGTAAACAAATATTGAAGAAAGTGTTGTGCCTTCACAGCATTTAAATTGGCATTAGGAATAGGTTTCCTTGATTTAGTAATGATATTGCTCATAGAAATTGATAATATACTATTTTATATTCACTCGTTCAAGTGCTGATCTATTTTTAAATTGAATATTTATGTAAGTATTATGTATAACACGATATAAATAATTTAAGGACATAAGAAATTAAAATTTCAAGTGCCAATATTGATTATTTTTCCAGTTTTATTCAAATATATTGAAATTAATATGGAAACAAAAGTTCATAAATATTATTCTTAATAACAAGAATTGAGATTTGGGGATAAGTTTGAAAAGCCATGTCAGAAGAGTAGGATTAAAGACAAAGTATTAAGGTAACATATATTTGCATAAAGTTTTAATAACACTGACAATTTTATTTGTTTATGTTTATTAATTAAAATTTAGTTGCAATTTATTTCATATTCTAATATTTTTGAGAAAATTTTACTTATATACATACCTGAATATTATGCTGCTTTTTTATTTTAAAGTGTGCCGACTGTGCTGTTATTTTTATACTAGTAATATTGTATACTGTAGGTATCGTATTCATATATAGTTATATATATCAGTAGTATAGATACTTACTTTCTGTCTATGCGTACTTATATCCTTTATAGGTAGTCTTTCTAAGTGCATATAATACTACTTTTTTAAGAGAAGGCAGTTTTTAATAATCTATTGTTAATTCCCCTAATTCTGTGTCCCCTGGTTCTGCTATACAACAATTATATATTTTTTTATCATTACTGATTTTAAAAGTTTCTTTTCAAAGAATTTGACCATATATTTTTTTTTCAGAGTAATTGGGCTGTTCCTGAACAATATTGAATATAAATATTCAAAAATATGATAAACTGCATATCCTACTAAGTAGATCAATACCAAAATTCCATTAGAGAAATAAGTTAAAATTATGTTTTACTTGTATAATTTTCTTGCTATTTGTCCACCATTATTTGTGACTTAGAAATTAAATAGTCAAAAAGAATTTAGTACCAGTTTTTATTTCCCAAAAAAAATAATTGTTAAATAATTACATATTGCTTAAGATACAGTATATTATATTGTGTTTATAGTTGATAATTCTAGTTCTTAGTTGTTTATAGTTGATAATTAACAATATTTCTGATGTTAGATATTATATTAGATAAAAAATTTAATTACCAACAGCTACCTACCTATGTAGCTGCAGATTATTATATTGTGTAGTAGGTACTGTATAATTCTTTAGTTCAAGAAACAAATATCAGTACAAGTATATAACCAAAAAAATGTTGATGCAAATTCTTTGTATAACATACGTACCCCTATGGTATTCAACTTTTCATTGTTCTTTTAATTAGATACACAATAAGCACATTAATTCGTTTATTAAACAACCAAAACCAACTACTTAAATTCACAATATAAATATCACAATAAATATATAAGCTTTGATCAATTCCTATTATTAATACCTGACGACTTCATACTTTATAATTACCAATGGCTATCCTACAAACCAAACCAAACACACTAGCCAACTAATAATAAATCTGTTCTAAAAAAATACAACATAAAGACATCGTTATTGCAATAATATAGAAATATATTCCATGTATCATTAACTACCTATAAATACAATACCCACATCTTCTTTTACGCGAATAGTCCGTTAGGAGGCAGAAATATTGCCTGCATTGTACATCATACAAATTGGCTAGAATTTATTAATATCCATTGCAAACATTTCTCTTTCAAAGGGTCTAAATGTTTTGTCTTTTTACTGTGTCCCTGTAATATGTTATCAATTAACAACAGTTATCAAATATGACCTGGACAATAATAATTGTTTTACCTTTTTTTCAAACTAAACTCTTTAAACAAACTATATAAATAAAATTTATCTCATAACCTAACTTGCTGCTAGAATTTCTTTCTTGTTATTCTATGTTCCTGTATTGTTATTCTTCACATTATCAATTTCTATGAGCAATATTATTACTAAATCAAGGAAATCTATTCCTAATGCCAATTTAAATTCTGTGAAGGCACAACACTTTCTTCAATATTTGTTTACTTCCAAAAAATGTCAAAGCATATAACTTGAAATAATATTTCAAGTATATATTTAAATTTTTGACATGCACTCACATTTAGAACATCTGAAATAAGAAATTTTGTAATTCTACACGTCTAAAAAGATATAATAACATTTTTCTCACTATAGAGCGAAATTTCTTTGCGGCTTCAGATACAAAACTTGCGGATTTCCATACATCGAAATACAAAATAAGATATTATTTATTAGTAGACAAATACCAGAATATAGAAGGCCAAGCCAAACTCTAGGAAATAACTTTAAAATACATTATTTTTTCAAAAAACGTTTGGATCTATAAATTACAATAATAATCTCATCACATCTGTCAGTGAAATGAGTCAAAAAACATAGGTTACCGTCAATTTATATGTTTTCAATTTCAAATACTCGACGCTCATTGGTTGTGACGAAATCGTCTTCCTCGACAAAATACGGCATATTTTCCAACATAGCCCGCTATAGGGAGTTGAATATCCTTCTTCTATATATCCTTGCCCCAACCGTAATCTAATAAAATCGTCTTAAAAACAATCAAATTTCAAGAACTTCTAAAAATGTAATACAGTAACTTATAATTTTAATTATTATTTATATATTTTAAGATCACAGAATGAATATACCTATTATATAAATTCATAATAATTAAATAATGATACCTAACGTTATGGCCAGTGCTCAACTGTATACTATTGTTAGTATAATGAAACCCCTATAACAGGGCTTTATCTAACTTGTCATGCTCGAATTACCGCAGATGGCAATAGGAGGACAGGGTCAGCTTTAGCCAAAATAAATTATTATAAGTACTATCAACTGCAACTAAATAATAATTATTAAAACCTGTCATATGCATGCAATCTATATTGAAGAATAAAAAATCTAATATGAATTTATTATTATTCTAAATTATGCATATAAATTATAGCTCATAAATATTAATCAATTTCATATGACCGTGTTAATATTTAGCGGTTCCATGTTTAAAGTTGAAAATTATACTAAAACAATAGATAATTGAGCTCATTCTGTTTACAATAATTATATAGTTTGTTATAAGTGATATAAAAAAGAGTTATACATTCCAATGCAAAAAACGCAACGTTTTGTCGTCAAGTTTAAAGTGTTATATTTTTTTAGCCCTATTTTCATGATTTTTTTAGCAAACGGTATATAAATCTATCAACTTTAATTCATAAAATCAGTTTTTTATAAACTTTAGTATTTGGCTTATTATAAGGCGTTAATTGAAGCCCAAGTAACATTTTTAGTTCCTTTAGGTTATATATACTCAAGGTTAGTTATATAAAGGTTTAATAAATGTCTCATTGGTATCTGACAGTGTTTTGATTTATATAAGTGTAGCGTCGGTTACTTATCACTAATAGTAACCTTAAAATGTTGTTTATCACTTTCCTTATAAAACTAGAAGTTCTTGTTACTAAAGATTTTATAGTAAGGTTTTATAAAGGTGTTCACATCTATTTTATATAACTTCTGGTATTGGGTGTTATAAAGGTACGCAAGATATACACTATATAATTAAAGGTGTTATTAAGAACCATTATGTAACTAATAATACTACAAGTTATATAATTGTTTCCTCAAATCGTTTTTTTGCACCTTTCAAATGTTTGCTTGCTTTATATAACCTGTAGTTACCGAATATCAAACCTAATGACATAACCTCAAATTTTCAATATAATCAAAACAAATAATATATTAGCAAGCAAAGCAATTCGGTATTATAATGAATAATAAAAAAATAAACTGGACAAAACACAAAAATACATCTACGTTCAAAAGAAAGTTCTTTAGAATTTTAAAAAAATAGGAATAATCTAAACCTCATTCAAACTACATCTACCAATATTGAAAGCTAACATGTAAATTTACCATCCACAAGCGGAGATCAGGATCAACCTGAGATATTTTCAACAGAAAGTTGCCAAAACGATCAGGAACAGGAAGATGCCTGGTTAAGGCATTCTCTAACATAAGAGAATGAAATTGCTGTAATGTCAAACTTCGTTCGCAGAGTCGCTACAGTCGACACCACGGGTTACATAAAGGTTTTCTGGGTGACTAAAAGTAGCCATAAACACCCCGGCATTTATAATGGTGATTTGTATCACCTTTAGTTGTATAAAACAGTAAAATTGGTGTTTTAAATAACCCAAACTCATTTACGCAACCTTAAGTAACCAAATTTATATAATGGTTGATGAGTATGTTATAGACCTTAAAGTAATATATAGATAGCACTTTAAATATCATGGACGCCATTATTATTGATGTCTTCATTTTTGGCTACAATGAGTATTTCTAAGATAACGTTAAAAACTGGTACAAAACTATATTTTGGCCAGTTGCCAGTTATTTCTATGTATTAAAAAAGTCGTATGTTCTATTATTTATATTAATAAATTTGACTTTCATTACAAAAATTTTACCATATTTTTTTTGTTTATAAAAAAATCTATTAAATAAATCTGCTTTTGGGGGCGCATGTGTTTTTTGGAGGCAAAATTGATTTTCACACAGTAAATTTAATATCGCATATGTATTTAGTACTGTATTTAGTACTCTGGATAGGCACAATAGATGTTATTAAGCCAGTAATTTCTATAAAGTCATTTGCATAATGCAAACGCTTTTGTAGGCTACGACAGGGATGGCGTCATTTTGTCTCTTTTGTTTCTGGTCTGGATTATCTGCGCAATAAGATCATATCTGCTTTTTATGTTAAAAAAAGAAGCAAATATTAAAGTAGTTAGTCAGAAAGAAACAAGTATATTTTCAAAAAACGCGCATGCGCGATATTTCTATGGAGGTAGTCTCTAGGAACCTTCTCAACACCACTATATAATTTTGGGCTGGGTTTTAGCCCATGGGGCCTGGGGCTTTTTTTCTAAATGAAAAATAACTTTAAAAACACATTTTTTTGAATAAAACGTTTACATGAATTTCTCTATCAATAAATTCATAGACTTAAATACCTACAAATTTTCTAAAAAAATAAAAATTAAAACATTTTTTGAACACAACAAAATAATATTAACTAAATAAAACTAGAAAACGTTATTTTTACTGCATCACAAGCAAATAAAAATTAATACGTAGCCAAGAGTCATAATTCAGGATTTCTCTGGGGGGTGCCCAGCAGTATTTGGGGCGGGGGGAGGTCCGGCACCCCCGGGTTCCCCTGTAGTTACGCCAATGAATATTACCAAGAGTAACAGAACTAAGAATATTAAAGACAATAACTGTAATAACCAATTGTAAAAACAAAACTTGTAAAAAATAGCCTAATACTTTGTATTGCCTTCCCCGGCTGCTATAAATGATTGTAAACGTCGCGCGTCACGTCGGTTTATACTACTAATGAGGCTACAAATACATTGTGTCGTGTTTGCCCATTCTTCTTCAAAGACCAAGCCAGTATTCATAATTTCGATCATCTTCAAGAAGATCAATGACTATTGCACAATATTCGATACTAAGAACCATATTCAATCGTACACAACAATAATCGATGAAGATCAATTAAAGCCACCTCGTCATTATGAAGAATAACATCAAAAAGTAAAGATAATAATTAAAAAAATTGCAAAATGTTAGTGGCAAGTTAATTTTGCTCTTAAAAATTAAACTAGGCATGTGTTGATATAAGTCAAAAAATAAAATATTCAGGAGACATGGTTCTGACCGAAAAAGTATGTTTTAGGAAAATTTTCTGAGGAAATTGTTGCACAGGGTGTTTTAAAAATAGGGTAAAAAACAACTCTTCGATTAACCCTGTATAATAAGTCAAATACTAAAGTTTATAATAAACTGAGTTTACGAATTAAAGTAGATATATTTATATGCAGTTTGCTAAAAAGAACTTGACCAAAAATTTCACCGTTGCGTTTTTTTGCATCTGAGTGTATAAATAGTAACATCCAGAGTAGAAAGTTGATATTTGCCTTAAAGGTAAAAACAGTGGAGTAGTTCAGCTCAGTGCACTACGCGCTGTTCACCTCGCCGTTAAAGCCGGTTTCAGACGACTCGTGTATGGTTCATACCAAATAAACTTTTAGTCATGTGATTAAGCTTGACTGGCACAGCGTTGTCCACTTTTAGATATTTTCTTTTAATCAAAACTAATAAAAACACGTATATTTTATTTTATTTTTTTACATATTTTAAGATTTTTTAAAACTGTATACAGTGTGTTTCGAAAAATCTGGTCATTGATTAATTACGATCCTGCTTAAAGCGTTTGACGTAAAAAGCTGATTTTTGGAAAACAGATTGACTTTAGGGTGTAGAGGTTCGATAAGAAGGAATTTTTCGAAACTCGAATTCTAAGGGGGTGAAACTATCCCTCAAATATTAAAATATTTTTTATTTAAAAACCGTTGAGTTTTTCGGAAAAAGTCTTAAACACCTATATTTTATTTTGTTGTTTTACATATTTTAAGATTTTTTATAAATTTATACAGGGTGTTTCATAAAATATGAGCATTGAGTAATCACGATTCTGCTTAAACTGCTTGTCGTTTAAAGCTGATTTTTGGCAAACAGATTGACTGTAGGGTGTAGAAATTCGATAAGGAGGGGTTTCTCGAATCTCAAATTACAAGACGGTGAAAACGCCCCTCAAATATTACAATATTTGTTATTTAAAAAACGGTTAGTCTTTCGGGAGAACGTTTGGACAAGCATAATTTATTTGGTTTTTTTACATATTTGTCTGTCCTCCAATGGTCTAAGACACTCGAAAAAGTTCCTCAGAACTTATGACCGAGAAAAATCAAAGGTTTTCCTTGATTTAAGTAAAAACAATCTTCGGATTGTCACGGGGTTTCTAACAGGGCACTGTCTCCTCAACGAACACCTCAGTAGGCTGAAACTGAGAAACAACGGCGAATGCAGATTTTGTGGGGAAAATGGGGAAACACTAGAACACCTTATCACTGAGTGCGCCGAGACGACGACCATTCGTGCCATGAACCTTGGTACGTCTGATGTCGAGGATGGAGAGCTGGCCTCTGTGGAGCCGTCTCAGATACTGGCTTTTGTTAAAGCCCTGAGACTGTATGATGAGTTATAACACGTTATAACTCAAGAAAGGCGAACACACAATAGATCTATAAGGTCGCGGTGATTAACTCCCCTCCTAAACATTCTACATTCTACATATTTTGAAATTTTTTAAAAAATAATACAGGGTGTTCGACAAAGTTGGGTAATTTCTTAACCACGATTCTGCTTAAACTGTTTGACGTAAAAAGCTTATTTTTGGCAAACGGATTTTTCAAAAGCCAAATTCCAACTAGATGAAACTACCTCTCAAATATTACCAAGTTATATAATAATATCGCCATTTTGATTTTTTCTCATGCTGACATAAATGTAAGAAAATTTTATCCAGTTTGTATGGTAATGGAAATTCTTGCTTTGCTTTGTCATCACCATTATAAATGATTAATTCGACGCGAACGAA